ACGTTAGAGAAACCACGTACAAGTGTCACTTGCACCAGGCTCAAAGTCACCGCAGTCACAGAATGCTGACGCCGGTGAGTTTCACGCGGAACACGGGTACAGTGGCCGGGCGCTGCGTCGGCCTTGTGTCGGAATGAAGCCGTAGAAGAAGGCGCATGACCGATCGCGTTGTCTGTACAGCTGGTGAAATAACGATGTGAAAACACCCGCTGTTGTCAGTGCATCTAGCGCGCGTTCTCTTGTACTTGCTTTGGTGTCGGCGAGCTGTTACTCGCTGTTGATACTCGGACGAAATGATTTCACGGGTGTAGCGCTGGCCCACAGTGTTGAGCCCCGTTTCATTGGTTTCGGGTCGTCACGAAACGCGTGCTGCGCAGCCCACGTGCTTTCCGAGCCGGAGAGAGACTCACGGCTTCTGCTTTACATTCGGATTTAATCAAGAAAGGAGAATTTGTCCAGTCAATATGGCCGACTTTCGGCTTCACCATGGCAGGCAGGCAGGCAGGCAGGCAGGCAGGCAGGGCAGGCAGGCAGGCAGGCACGGCAGGCAGGCAGGCAGGCAGGCAGGCAGGCAGGCAGGCAGGCAGGCAGGCAGGCAGGCAGGCAGGCAGGCAGGCAGGCAGGCAGGCAGGCACGGCAGGCAGGCAGGCACGGCAGGCAGGCCAGGCAGGCAGGGCAGGCAGGGCAGGCAGGCAGGCAGGCAGGCAGGCAGGCAGGCAGGCAGGCAGGCAGCAGGCAGGCAGGGCAGGCCGGCAGGCAGGCAGGCAGCAGGCAGGCAGGCAGGCAGGCAGGCAGGCAGGCAGGCAGGCAGGCAGGCAGGCAGGCAGGCAGGCAGGCAGGCAGGCAGGCAGGGCAGGCAGGCAGGCAGGCAGGCAGGCAGGCAGGCAGGCAGGCAGGCAGGCAGGCAGGCAGGCAGGCAGGCAGGCAGGCAGGCAGGCAGGCAGGCAGGCAGGCAGGCAGGCAGGCAGGCAGGCAGGCAGGCAGGCAGGCAGGCAGGCAGGCAGGCAGGCAGGCAGGCAGAGACGTTCGGATCGACGGATGGATGGACAGAGGGAGATAGATGCATAGATACCTACAAAGTCACTGAAGTTCACCAAGAAACGCTTCGCATTTAAAAGTGATTTCAAAGGTGTTTACAATGTCAAAGAGCTTCTCCGAAAGACCTACTCATAGGCGTCCACGTGACGGGGGCAGAGAAGATGCCCCCTCTGTCACCTGGAAGGGGGCGCTAAATCTGCTCTATACATTGACCAGGCGGCTGGGCACTCTTTTAGTCACCTAAAAGGGGGGCGCGAAATCAGTCTGATACACTGATTTCACAGAAAGGGGGGCACTGCTATGAACATGATGGTCACGACATGCGTTTCATGCAAAACATGACTGCATGCTACGCTCATAGCACACTCGCAGTCATTTTGCTAGCTTCACATACACCAAATTTGTTTTTACGTGACGTGATTAGACGACAAAGGTAAACTACACGTCCAAACATAATGATCACGACATGCGTGTAATGTGAAACATGACTACATGCTACTGTGATAGTGCGCTCGCCGCTGTTTCGGTTGCTTCATATATTCTAAATTTGATATTACGTGACGTGAATGGACGACTAACGCAAATAACAGGCGCAAACATGATAATCACGACATGGAGGTCATGTATGGCATAAATTATATGCGTACCACTACTGTTGCTGGTCTCGCAAACGTTAGTGGTGCCGTCGTTACGCTACTATAAATAACATCAATGCATCTTATTTAGATACATGAGTGCTCATAACATTTCTATTTGTGCTTACTGTGTGCTACGTCCGTCCACCTCGCAACGCTGTGCTGATTTTAAAGTGACATATCAACCTTCCTAATTCGTGTTTCGCATATCATCGAATCTGACTTCACAGGAGTCTGTCTTTTTTTTTTGCATTTCGCAGGCTTTGGTAGGTAAAAGAAAAACACTAATAATTAACAGATATAGAGTTCGAAACCACCTTATCAGATATTTTGCAAACGAATTTACAGCTTTCTTATTGAAATTTCTAACACATCTTCGTCCCTTGAAAAGTTAGTTATTAAAAAGGGCCTAATAAACCACCAATCAAAACTTAAAATATAGTCCAACTCACTCCAAGCAACAGTCAGAACATGCGTTTGGTCGCGTCGTAATTCCGTGAGTCGGCATATTTTACAGCGCAAGCTGTTACGAGATCGAAACACAGGTCACGTGCGGCGGCATAGTTGTTCACCGCCGCCGCCGGTGTCCGTAACCGGTATCGCAAGAAACAAGAAAAAAAAATGCCAGGCCTGCACGAAAGGCGCAGCACAGTCACAGCGAAAGCTAGAAGAGTGGCCTTTCAGAGCTTTTCAACACACTGATTGGGTAACTACTGCAAGCACACATGTTTGATACCCACTAGGGCATCATTAATAAATTTATTTCGGTAGTACTCTGGCATTCGCTATGGTATTTTTCATCATTCTTCTGAGAAGCGTGGTGTCTGCTTAAACACTTGCAAAAAATTTTGTGCCAATTGTTCATGCACTGGTTGACGACGATGATGAATTATGGCTCAAGTGGCTATGCGCCACTGTTAATAGGGTAACAAGAACAAGATTTTGTAATGGGTTGGAACATTTGACCGCCCACTCGTTACGCTTCTGCTTCGTGCGACAACTGGTTGTTTTTTCGCTGTTTTAAAACGCCTTATAAGTCGTAATGACGCGATTGCTTTCCCGACATTAAGCCTTCCTAAGGCAAGTTTGCCATCAAGGCACAAGCACTAGCTTAGCTCAGTGATAGAATACTGGGCTGGCACCCAGCGAAACCGGGTTCGAGCCCCACTGTGTCTTTGGTGCTAGGTTTGCCAACAAGTTGCACGCACCGGTGTGGCTTGGTGGTGAATTACTGGGTTGGCACCCAGAGTCCCGAGTTTGGAGCCCCACTGTGTCTTTGGTGCTATGTTTTTTTTTTCTAATTTCACGCGATGTGGTTACGGACACCGGTGGTGGCGCTATACTGTACGTGACCCTAGTTGTGATCTCATAACAGCTTTCACTGTAAAAAAATAATAAATCTAAAACACAATGGCCACACAGAGATTTCAACCCGGGTTGGCTGCGTGTCAGCCCAGTATTCTTCCACTCAGCCACGCCGGTGCTTCAAAGTGTTATCAAAACTGGCCTTAGGTAGGCTTGATATCGGCGAAGGAATTGCGCTAACGTCAGTAATAAAGTATTTTGGAACATCACAGGAACAATCAGGTATCACACAATTGGAATTGCTTAAAGAGTGAGTCATACAATGATCCAACTAATTACAAAAGCTTGCTCTTGTTTACCTATTATTTGTGTCGCATTGTTATAGCATGATTATACACCGTCGTTAGCCGATGCCAAGAAATATTGAACAATATTCGTAGTGACAGTGTAAGGGATACCACGCTTCCCCGAAGAATGATGAAGGATAGCATCGTGAAAGCCAGCCTACTACACAAAAATTATGATTATTTATAGCATAGTGCACTCAGCAAGTTTGATTTTAGCAGTTACCCAAAGAGTGGTAAGAAAAGGCTCTCGGAGCTTTCACCTGACAGTGCTGAGCTTTTCGCGCAGGCCTGGAGTTTTTTGAACTCTGGAGAAAGATAGCTATGGAACCCTGTATAAGGCACTGCAAGACGACGCCTTTCGCTCTATTTTGCTAAAAAAACACCCGCAGAATGGAGTGTTTCTGCCTCCACTAATAACCCTCAGTTGCTTGCTTGGTATAACTCAAATGCTAGACTGACATATTCCCGACTGCAACACTTTAGTACTCAACAGCATCTGTCTTTCAGGTGTGTTGAGTTTCAAAACAAAGACGTGCTTACTGGTAAGCATTTGAGATAAGAAAAATGTGTTCATTATGCAGGTAAAAAAAAACTAGGAAAGAGGTAGGTGGAACTTGGTGTTGAGGAACTCGATATAACAAAGCAGACAGCAGGTTATCACAGAACTAGAGGATCATACGAATAAAAATAAATAACTGCGAGACAGCCAGAATGCTGGATAGTGATGGATGAAGTAACACCAGTTAAAACAAACAAACAAAAAAGAACTGGCCAGGCAGCTACTGGTCGCCCCCTCCCTCGCAAAACTAAACGTGACCTCCTCAAAGCTGAAGCAAATTTCATAGAACGATAACACTTGGAAATAAAAGTTTCTTGGCTTTGAAGGGAGACACAGTAAAAGAGATTAATTGGTATAGGTCGGCTAGTAACACAGGAGAAAAAATAATTCACAGTGTAAAAACAAAAGAGTGAAAAGTTGTGCTGCTTTTTTGTTAATAGACGTGGTCGAGTCAGTATACACACACGAGGACAGTGTCCCTAAAAACTACACGGTTCATGTGACCATTTCTCAAACGAGACATGTGCAACTCGGCGGTCGTTACCCATCGCTGCTATAGCGCCTGTCAGTTGAGAACATAGTGGATGCTCTAGGCTCTGAAAAATTATTACTGTTTTCAAGTGAGGATTACTGACGTTGTGGCGATAACTCTGACGTGCCAAGACGTGCTAGATGTAGGTAAAGAATAATTTTAATATCGAGTCATATTTTCGAGTATTGTCGCTGTGAATGAACTACAGCTGCATGATTTGATTGATATGTGGGGTTTAACATCCCAAAACCACCATAGGATTACGAGAGATGCTGTAGTGGAGGGCTCCGGAAATTATGGTCACCTGGAGTTCTTTAACGTGAAACTACAGCTGGAACAACACACGTAAGGCTTGAAAGCGTCACGCATGTCTCTTGACGCATTTGTGCCAAATGACAATGCGTTCCACTATGGATTCAACACAAGTGGCCGCGCAGATGAATGGACCTTAATTAGCGTCCTGTCATGTTGCCCTTTGTGTTCTGTTCATGGTTGGATACAACTTTGAGCAGTGAATCAGTGACGTCCTCGATGCATTCCAGAGCAAGCTGGACAGCCAGCTGTTAGGTGGCCTATAGGCAACCATTCTGGCTTTAAAGCCGTGTTCTGCTGCTTTGTTCATGCATTGAGCACACTGCAGCCTCGGTGTTTCTACCCGTTCGCGTCGAATACTTCAAGGCAATAACCACAGAGTAGAGTCAAGCTGGGACACGACTTTGGCATTTAGTTTCCCCGGCACTATTAATTAATTATTCTACGATGGTAATCGAAGCCACTTCGTCGCGTGATGTACATGACGTTAAGCACAAGGAGGCGCTAGTTTCACTGAAAATTGACGATGGCATTGTGAAGTCGTTTGTTGAGGGTGCCACTGTCCCGGACGTCAACTTTTCAGTTTTTTTTGGCGATGTTTTTACCCGGTTCAAAACTGAGACTGCTCTGGTGAGTAACCTGGAACATTACTACAAATATTTATGATCTAAAAAAGGTTACCTTACCACGACCCCTGTATATTCGTCGCGATCTTTCGTAAATGGGATTTACGTTTTAGTGGCATAGAATAGGATCGTACATACATTTGGGGTGATAATGACAGTGCGAAACGTTGCGTGAAGTATAATTGACGATATATTTTAAAGTTATGCGGGTATTTCTGACAGTCATCGTCAGCATTTGGTGTCTTGGTGAAGCACTATTGAAATTGTGCAAATTTGTTTGTTTAATTGGGAGAATTCTCGGACCCACAAAAATATGTTGAAGCTTCAAAAAAAAAAGATTCCATATAATTGCCTCAGCCAATACCACAGTGGTACAGCGGTAGTTGTTGCATAGTGGACAAATTTCGCACACCAATGCGGATGCGCAATTGTTTAGTAGACCAACAATTGCGTATTCGCAAGTTTCAGATGCGCGGGCACTGCCTCAAGGGTTTTCTCTATATCGGTAGAACGGTAATGGTTCACGCTGTTTCCAAAATGCTTCAGCGCTCGTCATAATGATGACCAATGACGAGCGGACGAAAGATAACAGTATGTTCATTGTGCTGCGCTGCACCAATTGTCAAACATCATTCAGAATAAATCTATCAGTTTTTGAAAAGGATTACTTAAAAATATTCTTTTAGAATTTAGAATCAGATTTATTAGGGCATTGAATTGTTCGTGCGCAGCACTCAGTGTTTTGACTTAGCGCTTGTTTTCTGCTTAATAAATGCAACATGCTATTGATGATGAGTTTCCTTGTTGGGGAATGTGGCTGAAAATGAATAGTGTTCCTTCAAGACTATGCAACTTATACTGGAAAGAGAAAGTGTACATAATGAGAAAGAAAGAAGAATTAACCTGGCTACATCTAGTCAGCTCTTCTGCACTGGCAATGAGAGAAGGTACTAAATACAATGGCAGAGATACTTATACAAACGCACTTGCACACTAGAAAAAGCTTTCATTGTTGACCTAATTACACCCTGTCATACACGCTCATGACCCAAAGTTGGTGACTTCCATTTAAAGTGAGAGTTTGAGGAATCACCTTATCGCGAAATGATGCTTTCTGCACTGAAAAACAATAATTGCGTGCTTTGAGGATCTAAATGTGGTGTCTGCTGCGCAGCGGTCTGCCCAGCGCACATGTCAGTACATGGAGATTGTAGGACCGTGGTAAGGAGTGGTTGCGCAGCAGTTTTAAAGACGACACTCTTTCTTGGGGACCTTCAACGCAAAACTTTTGGTCCGTCCGTCCGTCCGTCCGTCCGTCTGTCTGTCTGTCTGTCTGTCTGTCTGTCTGTCTGTCTGTCTGTCTGTCTGTCTGTCTGTCTGTCTGTCTGTCTGTCTGTGTGCTCAGATTTTGGTGCACGTTAAAGAACCCCAGGTGGTACAAATTTCCGGAGTCCTCCACTTCAGCGTCTCTCTTAATCATAGCGTGGTTTTGGGATGTTAAACCCCACAAATCAATCATGCCTGTCTGTCTGTCTGTCTGTCTGTCTGTCTGTCTGTCTGTCTGTCTGTCTGTCTGTCTGTCTGTCTGTGTCTGTCTGTCTGTCTGTCTGTCCATACAATTGTCTGTTTGTCCGCTCTTAACGGTACCCTAAACGGCACCAAAGTGCCAAACGATACTCCGAACGGCCGACCCCATCCGCAGCACCCACCAACATTGCTCAAGATTCAGCGTTCATACTTGTGCGATTGTCAATTATAAAGCAAATATTGCGCATATGTTAACCCAGGTCAAAGGAACCAACCCCTACGTGGGTGACAAAGGGGTAGAATTAGAAACGTCATTGAGACGACCTCCTGATCGCCTCACGGCACTTTAGACTTGCGCATGAATGGACCTTTTCCGGGATCCAGCGTGGCAGTACGACCCCTCGCATCGGTTCGGCTTACGGCCCGACCAAGTGCTGTTCACGCGTCTAAAACTCGCCGCCTATTTAGGGCGGCGTGCATTGCGACACCGTGAGATTTCTGTCGACCTTTCGGCAAGGTCCGGCTTGCTTTTGGTAGTTCTCGGAAGCGGGCGGGCTTGCGACACGTGAAAGCATAGCCGACGTCGCAGTAAACGGGCGCCCGGTCGGTGCCTTGGATGAAAGCTGGTGCCCTGGCATGTCCGGGCTATTTCCGCGCCAATCCTTTCAAACGAGCTTGTAAGTAATACCACGTGTGGAGAGCCAGTGGTTTCACATACAACGCACAGGAGACAGGCGGATTACTTCCCCGTCTGAAATAAGTCAACGTGTTACCAGGAAGGTCTTTGTTATGGTCACAAATCTCATAATGCATTACTTTAAAGGAGCACTGACATCAAATTTACTCAAGCCAAGATTTTTGCCTCAGCGAGTAGCAATAGACCCCGTAGCAGCGATTAGTGACCTAAAACGCAACTGAGAGATGAATAACTATCACTTTTATTGATTTATATCACTCTTATCTAGCACTATTCGAAATTGCCGGCAATCCTGCCATTTTTAGTGCTGGGAACACTAGCAGTGGCACTGGCTCGTGGTCACTTCCAGATCACGCCACAGCTGACCACTTCTCCACAGAAAAGAGTGACGTCAGGCTCAGCTGCTCCGCGAAAATTTCGTCTGCTAGGCGGACGCATTCAGTCATGCCTTGTCACCTGCATTGCTGTCGTCGCCGTACAAAGTGTCGACTCGGGTTCAATACAATAGTCTGGATCTTGGAATCTCCGCGATTCGCGGTGCGCGAATTATTTTTGCTTCGATCGACCTTTTGCAGAACAGTGATTTCGAAATGAACGCCGTTCTGGGCAGCACTGCTGAGGAGCCCGAGGATGCACACTTCAGCCTTGTTCGCTCGTGTGTCTCAGTTAGCTATTTTGGTGTGTTTTGGCGTGCAAAGCATTCGGGTATACGCAGAGGGGTCAATGCAATATAGCTATTGCGAATGAGCATCAGCGGAGAAATATAATAAGTTTTCTGCTTGCCAGGTTGTTTTGTGCGCCTACAGATGACCCCACTTATTCAGCCTCTAGCTGTTAACACAGTATTACCACTTTTACGTGGACACAAAAAGCCTATAGATGAACTAAAATTCAACGCTACCTGCGTGTTACTTGTTAGTGATGATATCTGACTATACGCTGTTCCCCTTTTGATAGCTTTTGGTCGTGCTGATGTGTAACACATACGGGATTAGAAAAGACACCCTCATTGCGTGTTTTCCGTGCTTCGAACTAGACGACTGCAATTCACCGGCAACTCCCAACGATTCCCCGACATGCTGACCGGCAAGCACTTGTTTAATCATGCCCTTTTATTTCGCCGTTCTTTTAAAGGTGGTTTTTATCTTGATAATTTCATGAAACCATTCAAACGGCTTAGACGAAGATCAGACGCGACTAGCGAGTGCGTTTCTGCGCTTCGGCGCCAGTCGGTGCCAAGATAAGACCACTCGAATCGTACACGTCATCGCTACTAGGGCATCGTCACTTAGGATGGTATTTGTAGAAAGTATCACACCGAACACGTAGAACTATCTTGGTGTCACAGGGCAGTCTATTTTCCGTTTTTTCTCCTTAGCTTTTCTACGCTGTTTCACATCGAATTAAAATCACTTCCACGCGACGGATTCCGTTCAAATTTCGCCAAGACCTATGCATACCAAGCGATCGAATGATGGGCACATCTCGATCTTGAAGTTTGATGTCAGTGATCCTTTAAGTTTAAATAGCTGTGCGTCCGTTGAGCTTGCCCTTGCCTCGAGGACTTTTGTTGAATTCTGCTTTATTTACATTTTGGTTGTTGTGTTATTTGGAGCGAGGGTATGAGCCCTCACACGTGAATGATGTTGGCGTCATTGTGATGGGTTTTTGATTGACCAAGTGTACTGTACTATCAGGACAAACAGTGATTGGCCAAAAGTTGTATCGTGATTGAACAGTGATTGGCTAAAAGTTGTAAGCAGTGATTGGCCAAAAGTTGTATAAGGGCGGAGCATTAAGGGAATAAGAAGCAGCTCCGGTGTTCCCGCAAGCGTTCTGAACCGAGCTTAAAGACACCGTCGGCTCTGCCGAATTCCGCAGGGTCACCATACTGACGGTTCATTTCCAAAGAGTTTTCTTTCATTTTCGGAAACTTTTATGTCTACAACTATGTTTTATATTATATACAGTCCATAAATATACGTTTTTCCTCAACTTTATTGAAACTTCTACCAGTTTTACTTCCTCTTCAAGGAACCAGCAAGTCAATCGTTGCTATTTGCGCAGTGGCAGCATGTTACCGTATTTACTCGCATAATGTGTACCATCGCATGGTTGGCACATCCCTAATATTTTGTCAGTTTTACGAAAAAAATATTTGCTTGCATATTTTGCGCTCCCCGACCTGCCCGAGTCGGCTCGCCACCACGCATAGGAAGAGACTGAATACATGTTGGCGGGCTCGCCAGACATCCACCCCGCCGACCAGGGGAATGCAGTCCAATGGGCTACGAGTGCGAAGTCTCTTGTTCTGAAAAGTACCCCCGAACTAGGCTTTCTAGGATACCATGCACGTATCTTAAAACCTGTTGATGGGTGTCCGGAACTGCTCAAGCATTTCTCCCCTTCGGTCTCTTAATTTCTACTATCGTGTGAATGCACGCTTGCGCCGTGGCACAGACAACTTTTGGCACCAGAGGCATGAGTGGGCCTGTTGGGCCTGTCGCACCAACTGTTCCTCTCGTTCTCTGCGTCCGCGCTGCGACGCAAGCTTCCTGGATTTTGGAAGTTTAGGTTTCGCCATCCGTCCTTCGCGTTTTTACTGGGCTCTTGCAATGAGGCAGTAAGCATATATATGGCAAAATTCAAGCTCGCTGTTGTAAAGTTTGCCGAAGAGAACGGGAAAGCTACCGCCAAGCACTTGAGCATGAAGTTCTCCAACGTGTGACGATTGGCGCGATCAGTATTAAAAAAAAGAGTGCGCGCTTGCTCATACAAGT